AGGCGTGAGCCACCACCCAGCCTTTAAAGAATTCTTAATGTTAAAGTGATCAAACAAAAAATTTTAAAGACATTTAATTTTTTTATTTCTTAAGGTATTGTAAAAGAAACATTTTATAGGATCAAACATGTACTTATCTATAATATGAAAGAACTGTAATAAAATGTATAAAAATAAAAAAATAGCTAACTTCAAAGCTATTAACCCTTCCTTTTACTTAACCTTAGAGTATAAAGCAATAGCTTTTGTCCTGGTAACCAAAATTCTATGGGTATTTCCCAAGACCTGTGTCTTTAATTATAAGGTAGGGAGGAAAGAGTAAGATAATAGACAAAGGGAACGTAACCTCAGAAGGTGAAATTATTTTGGCAATTTGGGGTCTGAAATATGTAGAATAGAGGTTTGACAGTCACGTAATTTGAGATCTCCATCTCCAAAAGTATGGTAAGAGTTTGAGTCACTTGTGGAATCTTTGAGTAATTGCCGTAAAATTCAGTTAATCAGAATTCTTAAGTAATTTTTAGCACGTATCAGTGAGTTTTCTTGAAAGACCTTAAGTTCAAAAAAAAAAGTCGAAAATTTAGTTTCTCTTCACTCCGAATATTTAATTTCTAATGCAGAAAATATTAATTTTTCTAACAAATCTGTTTCAGTACCTTCAATCTATGAAGTTAAATAAATAGCTATATGACCTTAGTCCAGTTTCCTTCATTTAAAAAACTGGTTGAACCACAAATTTTCATCAGATATGCACACTTTTGAGAGGAGAAAAGGTGCTTATAATATTCATCCTGAGGACAATAAGAGCAAAATGGGACTATAAAAGGCAAGCCATATCAGATTGGTTGTGATGATTAAATGGGACAGTAATTATAAAGTATTGGAGCAGCGTTTTTAGTACAGAAAGTATTATAATTATTATTCCCTGAAAATGCCTTAAGGCCAGGTTCAAGAAATTAGGTATCATCTGTTTCTCTTAGAGAATTCTTGTTGGGCAGGATTATATAGGCAATGTGGTAAGTCTAAAGAATTACCTTAACTGTCTTAATTTAACTAACCAAATATTTATTTTCTGCTTACTAGTGTGCCATACACTGGAAATATACGTATAAATAAGATAAAGTATCTTTGAGTAGTCACAGTCTACATATGTAATATGTAATATAACAATGTAAATGTGGTAGTTTTCAAACAGGGATGCACATTAAAATCACAAATATGACTACATTAAAATTTAGAACTTAATGCCCTAAAGAAAATGAAAAGACAAGCCACAAACTCCAAAAAAAATGTTTACAGCACATATTGATGAAGATTTTATTGATAAAGGATTTATATGTGGAATATATAAATAAATCCTATAGGCCGGGCGCGGTGGCTCACGCCTGTAATCCTAGCACTCTGGGAGGCCAAGGCGGGTGGATCGCTCAAGGTCAGGAGTTCGAGACCAGCCTGAGC